TTTGCTCACAGAATCACCTTGATTCCAAAATGGTATGATATGGTGGGCTATGGCATTTAGGAGTAAAGTTAAAAAGGTGTGACACACTGACATTCGCACTTATCAAATAGATTATGACTAGAAAATATAGTGAATTTTATATAGTGCTTTTTCGAGAGTTAGCATAAGCAAAACAAATTCACGGATTTGGATGAAAAAAGGACCCTAGAATAATGTCAAAATCCGCGGAGATCTTTTATCTAATAGTCAACTGTTTAATTTGTAACGTATGAAAATGTAGGTAGACAAAGTAAATGCTAAGATAGCGAGGGTCACAAATTTCAAACCAAGGTTCCCAATCAGTCTTTCCCTCCACGCGATCGGAGGGTTAGAGAATAATACAGACTGGTCCAGAGTATATCCGTGATATACAAACACCTTAATATAACGGAGAGAAGGATGGCTGAAAGGATGGCTGAAAGAAAGGAATGACATACATGTATTGTTCTCAAACAAATTTTTTATATCGTTATGCCATACAAGAATTTTTTGCCTTCCCTCAGCATGGCTGATGCTAACCCTGAAGAGATCAACTTATTCTTCTTGGTCTCATGTTTTCCATTGACATGAAGTGGGGTGGTTGTATTGAATCAAATGCTAGTTATATTACGAAGAAGGTTAGTTCTCTCTATAGTTCCAGACAATATTTTCTCGTCAGAATCCATCTTGTAAATTTTAGATCTACCATTCATCAGTTTATTAAATATTGCTGCTATTTGTGATCTGATGCTCCTGCTATATATCTTCTATTTAATGAACTAAAGTAAAAAAAAAAGTATTTTGAAACATAAGATTAACACAGTATTAAAAAACAAATACACGGACATGTTTACACAAAAATGCAGGAAGCTTGCGAGGCAGAAAAAATCACAAGATAATGGATGATAGAAACCTCTAGAACAACTTACTCCGCCTTCTTGATCTCAAGCGTGTGAAACGCGCAAAGGCAAGAGGGTCTTCCGGAAGGGAAAAACGTTCAGGCCGGTAGTGTCCTCTATGTTGTTGGTGGGACCATGTCGTTTCCTCTGTTCGCCCTATTGGTTTGGATTTGTGATGACGTCTATCTACATCAGTAACTGGTATTCGTCACTCTAAAGGAGGAGTGTGAACCGGAAGATAGACAAACCTATCAACTCCTATTGATGAAAAAAAAAATTAAATAAATAAATAAAAGTTCAGAGCTTCAGGCAGAAACGTTAGATGTATAACGTTGAAGTAGGACTTTAGAAGAAAGCGGAAACTCAATTCTAAAATGGAAACGAAGTGTCTACTCCTGTTCAAAAGACCGGCAAGGAGCGTGAACCGGACGATCCCGTGAATTACCCAAAGAGAGATTATCGCCATTTGCATCCCTACGTCGGCATTCTTCTCAGAACTTGACACGTCGTTGCCTTCATCCCGTATCCAAAAATTTAATTCCTTCGTTGCTGATCGCTTCCTTTATGATGATGGCGTTGATGACTAAATTCGCCGCCAACGCACAGGTTCAGGATTAGAAAATTCCAGTTTTACCAAAATCTACCCCATTCCCTACCGCCATTTGAATTTGCAAGCGTTGGTTTGGAAGTGAACGAAAATCAGGGTAGAAGAAAATGCCGATGGCGTAACTTTTATTTAAGGTGGACCTCAACTTGTCAAGTGACCCACACACTTGATTTCATTACCTTCCTCTGCGGCACAAATGGAATGAGACATGCAAAATCCAGTTATGAAACTGCAACGAACTGCCGCTGACTCTGGTTTAATTTCAAGTGACGCCTTCTGTAGCATGTCCGATGTGCGTAGTCCTTTTCATGCACTGGTTCAACAGTTGAGAACTATTGTAATCATCATCCGCTTGTTCCACCATTGAGGTCTTTGGTCCCTTAGAACGATGTCGACCTGGTAGGGCTCCCCTTGGCAGCAAGATCGAAAACGAAGAACCAGAGCAAGCGCGACCATTATTTGAATAACACGTGCAAACACGTGAGTGCTGAAATTTCAGATATCCATTAATTCCCGAAATAAAGCTTAAATTACACGAGCAAGCAAGAATTGTTGTTAGTTGTTTGAAAGCACGTTCCTCGTTTCTCTCCGATAAAGTCAATTAAGAAAATGCCATAGAATTTAAAACAAAAAACTCTTGATATTTACATTAGATTGTTTTTGTTTTGTTTTGTTTTTCTTTTAGAACAAGTGATCCTGTAAGCGAACACTTAGTAAGCAAAATAATTTAGCTTCCAGTCTTAGATCTCCAAGACAAGTAATTTCTTTTAATAGTTGACATGTGAGAGGAAAACAAGTGACAAAACGACCCGTAATCTCATGGGCAAATACCGCGCCGTACCCCTAAAAGAAATGTAAATTAGTGTTCTCTTAAACTTCACAATTGTTTCAGTTGTGCTTCCTCTAATTGGGGCAACTCTGAACAAGCAAAAGAAACACTAAAACAAGAGATTGCTGCTTGCCATACATAAAATACTGTTAATGAATTAAACTCCTGTGCGTTTTATTAATTTACTAGCAGTAGAGCCTGGCGTTGCCCGGGGATGTAACAGTAAGAGATAGATCAAGTATCGACCATCATAAAGACTGAAAAATAAAATTGACAAAGATTATTGTTTAAGGTTGACAGACAAGCGTGTCTTAATTAGTTTTTTTTTTTTTTTTTTTTTTTAAGAATTGGTCAAACCCAAACTCAAACAAAAACATTGTTTTCAATCATTATGAGTCTACCGATTGAATAGAATTTTATTATAAACAATTGCCTTGTAAATGGAATTTTTAAAGCATTCTGAATATAAAAATAAAGAAAAAAAGTGTGCAAGACAATAAGAAACACTACCTGCCAAAAAAAAAGTGAATTTTTGTTGAAATCGGTTGAAAAATGTAGGAAATCCGATCCCATATATAAACGAACACACACACACACACAAACAAACAAACAAACAAACAAACAAACAAACAACCTGGGTTTTATAATAAGTATAACTCGATATGAGTTGTCCCCTTTTAAATTAATGCCTCTTAATCGTGTTTTCAAATTGATTTCATGCAAAAACAATTCCAATTTTTGGCGCTGTCAGAACCACCGCCATGTAATTTTACGTAGTCCTGTAAAGTTTTGTTGAAATCGGTTGAAAAATGTAGGAAATACGATACCATATATAAACGTACAGCCACACACACACACACAATCTGCGTTTTATAATAAGTAAGATTTAGTTAGTTAGTTTTAATCGAGTTCACCCCATGCAAGTCAGTAAAGCCCCTGAGATGCAAGGGCTTACTGGGTGTTTAAAAGTTAGAAACAGGAATATTGTTAAGGAGCGAGAACAGAGGAAAGACTAATCAGGGGGGTAACAGATAGCTATTGACATTGCATTTAAATTTTTACAGATTAAAGTTGACTGGAAAGCATGAAGTCGGAAGGGAGTTCCACGATCGAAAAGTGTGAGAAAAGAAATGATTAGCATAGAATATAGGGTTACACCTTGCCAGCTCAACTGTAAATTGGTGAGGCCTCGTCGCCAGTCTTGTACTGCGCTTAAATTCGAAGAGTCGATGCACCAGAGCGAAGAGCGATATTTATTTGTAATTTATTTACCTTTCTTACTACATCCACCATAATACCTCAATGTCTCTATGAAAGTACTAACTAATCACGATACTTACAATTCTTGCCTGTGGGGTTAGGGCAATAAAACAACATCGGCAAGATCGATATTTATTTGTAAATATTTAAAAAGAAAATGTGGCACAAAGCCCAAAAGGGGAATGGAGAAAGAGAAGGTCTTCATCTGTCTTAAAATTATAGCTAGCCACAAACACTGACCCAAACATACCATGATATTCCTAACACCAAATCAACGCATTCTTACTTACCTTTCTTACTACATTCACCATAATACCTCATTGTCTCTATAAAAGTCCTAAATAGTCTCTGTATGTACAATTCATTGTCTGGGGGGAATAAAATAACAATTTAAAAATCTAAACCCCAATGAATATTTACAAAATATGAACAAACACTATATACAAGAAAGTAAACAAAATAGTTTTAGTAATACCCCCCCCCCAAAAAAAAACCTTAAATGTGGCAGAAACATCAGTTCACTGGACGAAATCAATGCGGGACTTTAATAATATAAGACATTCATTCATCCCAAGCATTCACTCAAACACACACTCATTCAAACACAACAACAAATGCGAAAAAACACACCCGAAACGAAAGGCGCCTCGCATCCACCAGAGACAACCTAACGCGGGAAGGGATGGGGAATTAAACTAAAGAAAAAAGGACATAAATAAAAGGGGCCAATGATTTTATTCAAATAATTACCATGAAAGTATTTATAGAAAAGGCAAAGTGGGGGCGGTGGTAAAGTGACTGAAGTTGAGCCACCAGATCAGAACCAATAATATTGCTGATTCTTCTTTGAATTTTACCAAGGATCTCTAGGTAAATAGCAGGAGCACCGGACTATAAGTAATACTAATATTCTAAGCATGGACGTATGGTATATCTATAGATACGTAAGATATATTCTGCAGAGGAAATGTATGGCAGAATGAACAAACCTTCCTAGCAGCTGACCTTATTTATTTATTTATTTATTTTCGTTGGGTATTTCGATTGCATGCTCAGAGAACAAATTTGGATTTCTATTGATTGATTATGGTTTATTTTACAGTTTATCAACCTTTTACAGAATATTTAAATCCAGAAAATATTTTTACATTGTAAGAATTTTATAGGGGTTTGGGGAGATAATAATAATAATAATAATAATAATAATAATAATAATAATAATTTAATGATACAAGTCTTACTAATCTAATTAACCCATAGATGGGAGTAGAAGAGGTTGATTCACACCTTTTCCAAAATGAATATAACAAACTCGACTGAAATTTGAACTCGGTACTCGGATTAACAATTCTGAGTCGTTGTCCACTATATCATCTGTACATTCAAGCTTACAGTACCTGGTATTCCCAAGCTGTCACCCATCTAGGTACTGATCAAACTCGACGTTGCTTAACTTCGTTGATCGCACAGGAACCGGTGTTTCAACGTGATATGGCTGTAAGCCTGCTACAAAAAGTTCGGCTTACATCAGATTCGGCACGATTCAAGTAAAGGAATGCAAAAAGCTCCCAAACTTTCGATAATTAGCTTCTTAAAACGAATTATTTTTGTCATCTGCAGGAGCAAATTGCTTTAGTATACATCCATACATATACACATACACACACACACACAAATATAATATATATATATATGTGTTTTCGTGAATAGTGTATCGGTATTATGAACAGGACATCGCTTCTAAATCGACAAAGAATTAATGTTTTTCAATTCTGACAAGTGTAGCGAACTAAGGAATGTCTGAAAAATACTAATCAGAAAAAGAAAAACATTATTTAAAGTTTTTCTGGTAAATTTACAGATTAAGCCCCGGAAATTAATTGTAATGAAAATTTTCCATTCTGGTGTAACTTTGCATGTTTATTTCGAAAATAACAATAAAAGTTTGCTTAGGTAAAAGGCTTCAAACTCAATAACAGACTTTTTTTATTTTTTGTTGTGGGATACTAATATGTTTGGGCAAATATTATTCACTATTATGTTGCGGGAATCAACATTTTGGATAGTAAATATATACGGGCTCCTGGAACATTTATCCTACAAACAATATTGGTGGACTCAATGTGAGTCCAGGTAAAAATAATAAACAATAAAACAATATATATAAAACATGTTTTCCCAATCACTACAATCTTGACCCCTTCAAGTCTAAGGTTAATCATTATAAGCCCATGAAGTTTACTTCTTGCTTTTTATTATGCTGATACACCACACAATAACGCTCTACCTTGAGTGGCTCTTGGGATTTCTCTTAGGTCAATATTAGTGTATAAAAAATTACAAGCACTTTGATTTTATAGCAAATTCCTCTAAAATATTTGTTGTAATGGAATATCCTACACTCCCTATCGCCTATGTGGACTGGTATATCAGTAGCTATATATAGTAATCACAGGATATACCTGTTGGATTGCTTCGGCATTTAGTTGAAGGTTCGTCTCCAGCTGTGCTGGTGGAACTATCTGCCTTCGGGCAGAGAGGAACCTAGACGAGGCTATGCCGAAGGGCAGAGTCTCGTCCGGGGTGATAGACAGCTACCCGACCCCGTGTATATGGTGTCTACGGGGAATTTTTGCCCGAGACTACGGGCTCGGTTTTGCCCCGCATTAAAAACGGCCTTGTGCCACACCCTGCTTCGTTTGGAGGTAAGGTAAATATCCTTGCTTCGCAATTAGTTGGAGATTCTTCTCTAGCTATGCTGGTCGAACTCGCTGCCTTCGGGCAGAGAGGAACTCTGACGAGGCTATGTCGAAGGACAGAGTCTCGTCTGGGGTGGTTGACAGCTACCCGACCACGTTTTTTATGGTGTCTACGGGGAAATTTGGCCGAGCCTATAGGTTCGGTTTTGCCCCACATTAAAAAAACGGCTTTGTGCCACATCCTGCTTCGCGTGGAGGTGAAGTAAATAACCTTGCTTCGGGAATTAATAGCCTGCCACCCGATTTCCTGTTTTTCAGTAGTGTATTCTCTTTTACAATAAACCTCTCGTCTTTCATCTACGCGTGTTGCTGTTCCTTCATTCGAATACCACCTTTGTCTATTTGTAACCTCTTTAAGATAAAACAATATCTTATAGTTTGTTTTAATATAAGATAAAACAATGTCTTATAGTTTGTTTTTTTTCTTCGTTCTAAATCCCCAAGTATGTTTCTCAATTGAAATACGAGCCAGAGAAGTTAATCATTCTTGAGTCATTAGGTATCTTATGCATGACTGAATTCGGTTCAAAATTGAGAACCTTCTATTGTTTTCAACTGAACTTGCAGGATTGCTCAGGAAAAGTTGTCTGAAGAAAATCACCATAAGTGTTAAACCTCTTTTTTTTTTTAAATTCGTAAACTAAATTTTAGACATCAAATTTATCTGAAGTCATTTTTTTATTAACCGTCTGGCTTTCTTTTTATAATTATTTTTTAAAACAAGCCTCTCAAAAGAAAGTGCAACAAATATAAATTTTTATATACATTAACAATAGAACTGTTAAAGAATTATTGCAACAAAGTATTAGCAATGCCTGTAAATCGCAGCTGATCCATCCGACATAAATATCACTCAACACACTCCTATCAATAACCAGCTAGAAAATACAAAAAAAAAATTAGAAATTTGCTCAAGCTGAAATTACCTTTCTCACTGGTTAGAAAAAAAATGTATCTACTTTTAAACCACGCCTGTTCATCGACTTTATTTCGTCGGATTTTCAGACCATAAAACTTGAGCCTTACGAATTTGAAATCCAAATATTACACATCAAATTTATTTGAGGCCAGTTTTTTTTTATTATTTTTTAAACGCTCCTCTCCAAAGAAAATGCAATAAACAAACTTAGTCTGTTATATTATTATTTTTATTTACTCTTTAATTGATGTCACATAATTTTACATTAATTTTACATCGTAATTTTTTTACAAGTAAATGTTATTAAAATTATAATTTATCATAAATTTGCTTATTGTACATGAAATGAAGTTTTTTTTATTTTCATTATTCTTATCCTTATTCTTATTTTCTTAGTCATATATATCTTATATTTTATTATGTGTTATCTTATTCTTCTCATTCTTATTTTCTTATTCGTATTCTTATATTTTCTTATATATTTTCTTATTCTTATTTCTTATTCTCATCTTCTTATTCTTATAAATTCTTTATATTTTTCTTATTCTTATTTTATTCTTATTTTCTTATTATTCTTATATTTTCTTATATATTTTCTTATTTTATTTCTTATTCTCATCTTAATTCTTATAAATTCCTTATATTTTCTTCTTATTCTTTTCTTTTTATTCTTATTTTTTATTCGTATTCTTATATTTTTCTTATATATTTTCTTATTCTTATTTTATTCTCATCTTCTTATTCTTATAAATTCCTTTATATATTTTCTTATTCTTATTCTTTATTCTTATTTTTCTTATTCGTATTCTTATATTTTCTTATTATTTTTATTCTTATTTCTTTTATTCTCATCTTCTTATTCTTATCAATTCCTTATATATTTTCTTATTCTTATTCTTATTATTCTCATTCTTATTTTCTTATTCTTCTTATATTTTTTTCTTATATATTTTCTTATTCTTATTTCTTATTCTCTTTCTTATTCTTATCAATTCTTTATATTTTTCTTATTCTTATTCTTTTATTCTTATTTTCTTCGTATTCTTATATTTTCTTATATATTTTCTTATTCTTATTTCTTATTCTCATCTTCTTATTCTTATCAATTCTTATATATTTTCTTATTCTTATATTCGCATTCTTTTATTCTTATTCTTATTCGTATTCTTTATTTTCTTATATATTTTCTTATTCTTATTTTATTCTCATCTTCTTATTCTTATAAATTCCTATTATTTTCATTATTCTTATTCTTTTCTTCTTATTTTCTTATTAAAATTCTATTTTTCTTATAATTTTATTCTTATTTCTTATTCATCATCATTCTTATAAATTTTATATTTTCTTATTCTTATTCTATCTTTTATTCTTATTTTGAATTCTTTCTTTATTTTTCTTATATTTTATTATTCTTTTTCATTTCTTATATTTCAATTTTTTATATATTTTTTCAAACTTATTCTTTTACTTATTTTCTTTTCGTATTCTTATATTTTCTTATAGTTATTTTTTTCATTCTATCTTCTTTATTCTTATAAATTCCTTATATATTTTTTCTTATTCTTATTTTTTATTATTTTTTCTTATTCGGCACCTCTTATATTTAACTTATATATTTTCTTATTTCTTATTTCACCTTCTCATCTTCTTATTCTTATCATTCCGTATTATTTTCTTATTCTTATTTCTTATTCTCATCTTCTTATTCTTATCAATTCCTTATATATTTTCTTATTCTAATTCTTATTCTTTTATTCTATTTTCTTATTCCGGAAAGTATTTTCTTCATATTTTCTTATTCTTATTTTTTGAACTCATCAAATTCTTATAAAGGCCATATGTTCTGCCCTTTTAAAATTTTCTAATTTATGGTTCTTATATAAATTTTATTTTTATTCTCATCTTCAGATTCTTATAAATTTTTATTTTTTATTCTTATTCCGCTCAGCTTTTATTCTTATTTTATTATTCAGTATTCTCTGGTTTTTTTATATATTTTCTTATTCTATTTTATTCTCATTCTTATTCTTATCAATTCTTATATATTTTCTTATTCTTATTCTTATTCTTTTATTCTTATTTTCTTATTCGTATTCTTATATTTTCTTATATTTTTCTTATTTTATATCTTATTCTCATCTTCTTATTCTTATCAATTCTTTATATATTAAATATTCTTATTCTTTTTATTCTTATTTTCTTATTCGTATTCTTATTTTTCTTATATATTTTCTTATTCTTATTTCTTATTCTCATCTTCTTATTCTTATAAATTCTTTTATATATTTTCTTATTAAACATTTTTATTCTTATTTTCTTATTTATTTTTTATATATTTTTCTTATTCTTTTTCTTATTTTTCTTATTCTTATAACTTTATATTTTCTTATTCTTATTCTTATTCTTTTATTCTTATTTTCTTATTCGTATTCTTATATTTTCTTATATATTTTCTTATTCTTACGCTTAATATTCTCATCTTCTTATTCTTATCAATTTTTTATATATTTTCTTATTCTTATTCTGTTAGTCTTTATTTTCTTATTCGTATTCTTAATTATATATTTTCTTATTCTTAATTCTCATCTTCTTCTTCTTATAATTTATTTATCTATTTTCTTATTCTTATTCTTTTTATTCTTATTTTCTTATTCGTATTCTTATATTTTCTTATTATTTTCTTTTATTCTATTTTTATTCTCATCTTCTTATTCTTATAAATCTTTATATATTTTCTTATTCTTATTCTTTTATTCTTATTTTCTATTCGTATTCTTATATTTTCTTATATATTTTTTATTCTTATTTCTTATTCTCATCTTA